TATTAGATAGGAGGTGGGGGAGTATTAGATAGGAGGTGAGGGAGTATTAGATAGGAGGTGGGGGAGTATTAGATAGGAGGTGGGCGAATATTAGATAGGAGGTGGGGGAGTATTAGATAGGAGGTGGTTACCAACAAGGGGAATATTAGAAGAACACTAGGAATACTAGAAGCTGGTGGCTAAGGAGAGGTGGGGGAAAGATTGTTGGCACTGTAGAAATCAAGGAGTACAGAGTCCGAGGAATTGGACAGGTCATTCCCATCGGTGTGAACATCTCTTAAAGTGGTATGGAAGAAGTTAGTTATCCGGGGTGGCGCCTGTGGCTCAGTGAGTAGGGCGCTGGCCCCATACACTGAGGGTGGAGGGTTCAAACTAAGCTCCAGCCAAACTGCAACAACAACAACAAAAATAGCCGGGCATGGTGGTGGGCACCTGTAGTTCTAGCTACTCAGGAGGCTGAGGCAAGAGAATCGCCTAAGCCCAGGAGTTGGAGGTTGCTGTGAGCTGTGACGCCAAGACATTCTTCCGAGGGTGATAAATCTGTCTCTAAAAAAAAAAAAAAAGAAGGTAGTTATCCATGTGATAAAATCTTTAAAATGTTTAGAGAAATGGCAGAATATCTTCAGATGACTGTCTCAAGGAGAGGTAGCTCCTGGTATTATCTGATGGAATGGGCTTCAAAAGCCTCTGTGGTTCTTCAGGAACAGAAAAGAGAAAAGACCTATAAATGGAAAAGAGGCATGATAAATACAACTCCCCATGTCTAGGCCCTGTGATCGGAGGGATTAAGAGACAAAAACAAACCTGGTGCCCAATGGGACTAAGCTATAGGTCCACCATTTCATTCAGAGCCAAAAGTTGAAGAAAGCATTAGGGATAGTTGTTGAAGACTTTTCTCAGTGTGATAGGTTGGCCTGGGAAAGACACTAGAGAAATTTAGGGTGTTTCAGGTAGAAAAAATAGGATTATATTGGTACTTACTGATAAGTCAAACTATGTATTTATTGAATTACAATCCTTCCCCAAGTTTTAAAAGTATCAACAGTCTTAACTTAGCTTTTCCTATTAAATCTGTTTTAGACACAAAACACCCCATCACTGATAACAATTGGGGAATCTCCATTTTCAAGGCTTCTGAATTTTATTGTTCTACGATATGATTAGTAGCAATATTTACATGCATGGTATTTAGAACGCCAATAAAAAAGCTTCAGTTTCTTTCATTGAAAGGAAAGAATCATTTAACGGGACTCTGTCATGGGAATAATATTTAAATATTTAGTTTATATTGCTTAATTCTCAAACTTAGCATATTGTCATTGTTCTGTGCTGACAATTTTAAACCATTGTCTTTGCAACTGTGGTCTTTTATCTCTGGTTACATATATATGTTTACCTGGAGTGCATTGTCTACAATTTCATTTATTGAAGGTGTATTGATGACATTATCTTTCAGTTTTTAATTGTCTGGGTATATTTTTAATTTTCTTTTGTTCATTTTTCTGGGTACAGAATTCTAGTTGTTTTTTTAATTGATGTCAGTTTTCAACCTGTCATTCTTATATAGCTGGGTTTTCTACATTCTGGGGCCATGATGTGTCTATATATCATTTTTTTTAAAGTCCTGCTTGGGATTTACTGAGATTTCCTTGATTTGGAGTTTCTTATTTTTCAATAATTTTTGATAAGTCTCACCCATTACTCCCTTAACTATTTTTTCTTTATTTTTTCTATTATTTTAGCCACTCTTAACATATCATCTGTATCTCTTAACTGTCATTTTATGTTTTTTGTAACTTTTTTCTTAGATCCATATTCTTGATACTTTCTTCAATATTATCATCCTTTTCCCTAAAATTCTTTTCATTTCTATTTAGCCTGCTTTTTTAAACATTAAAAGAATTTTAATTTTTAGTTATTTTGTTCTGCTCTAAAAGGTGTATCTGGTTCTCCTTCAAACTTGCTCAGTTATTTATATTATTTAATCTTATATAAATACTTCCTTGTTCATATTTTAAAATACTGTTAATTTCTTCAGTACCACACATTTGTGTTTTTCTTCTTTGATAATTATTTGACGTCTCACACTCTGAGTGTTCTGTGCCTGTGTGTCATATGTTATTTTTCTGCCTTTCACTACTGATATCTGATTTGCTTCTGTGTTTAGTGATTTTTATCAGTGAGCTCATATTGTTTGAAACTTTATCTATGAGAAATTTATATGGCTTGAGTCAAATTTGAGTTCCTCCAGAGAGGATTTATATTTACTTCTTAGGCTGATACTTGCTTAGGAGTAATAGCAACTCAGAACCACACTTTTAGTTTAATTTGAATTCACAAGTAAATGTTTTTTCAGGCTACATCAGACATCATGGATTTGGGCCACATATACTCCTAGGGATAGGCTTGTAATTCTAAAGCAGCATAGTTTTTACTTCTTTTCCACCTCTCCACCTAAAGGACTGGCAAGAGAGAAATATTAATTTCTGTCCTCTCTGCAAGGTGGGTTTATTTCTCAATCCCCATTCCCTGTTGGTGAACACACCACCTTGCACCAGTGTGGGAGTCAGCTCACGTGGAATCTGTGGCACGAGCAGAATTTAAGTTGTCCCAAGAACACATAGAGTCAATATTATGGCCCAAGTTAAAATTTCTTTCTTTGGGGGTTTCAGCTCTTTTATTTATTTATTTATTTTTTATTTTTTGGGGGGGCTTTCAGCTCTTTATTTTGGGATCTCCCTGATCCTTCAATTGGCCCAAGCTTTATATTCTTTCCCTGGAAATCTGTGTGGCTCTCTTTTTTTTTTTCAGTTTTTGGGTTTGAACCTGCCATTTCCAGCATATGGGGCCGGCGCCTTACTCCTTTGAGCCACATGCACCGCCCATCTGTGCCACTCTTGATGCAGAAGTGCAGAATCACCAGGGTTAACCAGTAGCTCCCAGGCAATGCTGACGTCTCAGGATTCCCAATTTTACTTTTTCGTTTGTTTGTCTTTGGGGGGCTCTTTATGGTGGGTTACTATTGATCTCTAACTTTCTGGTCAGCTGCACACATTTTCTTACAGAAAATTTGTCTTCATGTTATGCAGAGTTTTAATTATTTTGAGTGAGATATTCATTTAGTTTAGGATATCTATCCCAGTATCTTGCCAGAATTGGAATCTCACGTCTTCATCCTTGAATATACATGGAGAATCGCTTATGAACATTACATTTAGTACAAGAATGTTATTAGATAAAGAACACTGGGCGCCAGCCACATACACCTAAGGTGGCAGGTTCGAATCCCCAGCCCAGGCCCGCCAAACAACAATGATGGCTGCAACCAAAAAATGGCCAGGCGTTG